GGGATTTGAGTCCCAGAGCTGTGGCCACAGCCCCAGTGGTGGCACTCACATAAGCTGTTCCCAACTGCCTGTGGGTGGAAGAGCCAGGTCACAAGAGAGGTGAAGAGTCCAGAATGTGATTCTTTCCTTCAGGGACATGCCAAGACCTCAATACAAGGCGTGGGAAGGTGGCCTCATTGCAGAGGAAGACCCTCTCCCCACCTCCAGTGTAGTCTTGTCTTAAAGTTCCATTCCCTCCCCTTAAAGAGAGGTGGACCCCCAAATTATACACAAGAGGACCTCATCCCCTTCATTAGGCAGGGGAACTAGGATACATGGAGGAAGGCTGAGACCAGGATGCTGAGCTATTGGCTCAAGGGGCAACAGGGAACAGGAGCAAAAAGGAAAGAATATTACTGGGTTGCGTGGGGACAGAGGGTCCAGTAGTCCTGGGGGACCAGCTCTCACCCGACTGTGATGGGAGCATCACCACTGCGGTTGGAGTAGTTGACGATGGCATTGAAGGACTGATTCACCCACTGCCAGAATACCACAGTTGGGGTCTTCCTGAAGGAACAAAGATACTTACTTCTGTTCCTCTACAGTATCCCCTATCTTTGGGTCCCTATACTCAAACTTCAAAGGCTATTCCCAGACCTGCAGGATGGTCTCAGATGATGACCCCAGAACCTGTTCTGGTAACTCCTGCATACCGGTGACACATGTTTATAGAAACACACCCACTTTCTCCGGGGTGAAAGACTCCTCAGGGTCAGTTCTGAGGACTGGATTCTATGGGACTGATTCTCACCACTCACTGTCTTCTGCCCAGACTGGCCCAGAGAGGAAGTACCTACTCTACCTCAGATGGAGCACCAGGGACAGGGACACATGGGACAGACCCTACCTGTAGAAGGTGAGCATGCAGCCAGTGATGATCATGTTCATGGGCACCTGGGCTGACATGCGGCCAATCAGGACCACCTTCTCCCCTGTGTCTGGATGGAAGGCAGAGTCATACACATATTTGGCTCTCCACAACTGGTCTTCAGTAAGCCCTGGGGCCACAACACCGGCTCTGCAGAGGTGGGCAGGAAACGGAAAGGCTATTCTGAAACATAGATTTCCCCAGGGCCCACCTACCCAATTTAAGAAGAGTCTGAGAAGAACAAGACATTTTGCCCCACCCCTCAAGTCTCAGAATAAAGGAGTTTTCTGCCTCTTGGGATGGCTCAAAGCTCCCCAGAAGTGAGGGCTTCTAATTCTATTTCCCTTCCTACCACACAAAGAGAAGTATATCTTGTTTCTGCCAACGTGCTGGGTTATGGGCAAGAGTGGTTTCCCAGGGGGTCAGCAAGGGTTCTCACTTCCCCCTGGAGACATCTATCTCACTGGAATTTGACTTTGAGCTTCTCTGTCTGCTGAGGGTGGCCCAGCAGTGGACTAGGTCCCTGTTGAAAGTTCGTGAAGCACAGAGCAGGCCCCACCCATAAATACCAATGCTATCTCTTCAACCCAAATGCTCTAAAATCCTCTGGACTAGAATTCTGTGCCACAGTACTCTATGATGCCAGTAGGTAAGGCCAGAGAATGAGGCTATGGAGTGGGACACTCTCAAGTTGGGGAAAGCACATTCCAGAAGTACTGTAATAAAGGAGGTCACCTGTAGTTTTGCACAATGTTCCGGGAAGCTTCTAGCTGTGCTCCAGACAGCAGCAGATTTCGAGGGTCAGTGACAGTGAAGAAATGTTGGGCTCTGCCCAGGAAAGTGCTTTGGTCCCAGCGAGGTTCCTGGATGTTGATATTTAAGGGCAGCTCACCCATTTTCTGCAGGGCAAGGACAAGGGTCAGAGGGCTCCAAGGAGGGGGTCCAAGGGCTCCACCTGGGGGAACCCTTGGAGGCCTGCCCTGGTTCTTGAGCCTACAACTAGTCCATTCTAGAATTCAAGGTCACTCCAGAGAGGTAAGCAAGGAGAGGGGGAGGAGCTGTTTCCTTAGCAATGCTGTGGCCCAGGATTCCCCGGGAGCTACCTGCAGCCACTAGGTGAGAGGGAGGAAAAGAACAGAACCAGGAAACTAGATTTCCTTGTCCTCTGGCCTAGTGTGGATTTACATGAGTATAGTTGATGCCAGACCAGGAGCTCCCAAGCATCTAGTCATGTGTACCTGGATACACTAATATGCATATTACATACAGTATATATGCATGCTCATAGACAGCTTTAGGCCCCAGCTGTCCTGAGACCTAGATACAAAGCCATCCCACACCCTACTCCTTGACTGCAGGAGAGTCAAGGTTCATTGGTCACCCCAGGGCTGATCTGAGGCCAGCTGTGAGTTTGTGCAAGCATGCACATGTCCCCTCCCCAGGCCCATCTTTCCCAACCCACACTGATGACCCAAGGCTCCCCTGTTTCATAGCAGGGCAGGGTTGGCACCGGCACCCCCATCCAGAAAGGAGGAGGATTCTACAGATGCCCTTTGCACACAACCCAGAGAGGAAAGCCTGAAGCAGCCATCTGGCTGTGCGAGACAAAATCCTACAGAATGACTAATCCTCTCCAACCACACTTCCTCTTCCACAGCAGGCACACCCTCTGCTCCCCCACACACTCACATACCCACAGACAAAGGCACCATCAGGCACACCCTGCACAAACAGACAAGTGTACAAGCCCTGTAGACACTAGCCCCCAAGCACCGTTACTTACACACTCGTGTACACACACACACACACAGCCGCTATCCATCAACTCTAGACATATGAGCATGTGACCACACTAAGCCCCACCCTAACATTCCTCTCCACAGCCCACCTCTTCTGCTCCTGCCCGTCTCCAGAGTCTACATTGCTGAACACACAGAACAGAGAGTGCATCAAGACAGGCTTCCCGCTGGACTCCCAGCCCTCAACCCAGGAGTCCCCGGGCCCCAGGCCCTGGGCATCGAGCCTCGCCCGGGACAGAGAGCACTCACGCTTTCTGGGCTTCAGGCCGCTGCAGCTTTCAGACCCGCCTTCCTCTCCGCGCGGTGCCCGACCTTCCCAGCCACCACGCGGGACGTCACGCGTGACGTTGACCAGCAAGGAGGGGTGGGGACTTGTGGGGCGCGTCCATCCGCTGGGCCCCAGGGATTGGCAGAGGCTAGGGGCGGTGGGTGTCATTTTGGGGTGACGCCCCCAGCCCGGGCCGCGAGGACCTGGTCCTATTCCACCTTCCAGAGCCAATCGGAGTACGGGGATTAGGCCCGGCCGGGTCCCCAGCCAGAAAGAGAAGGGAGGAGCCGCCCGCGCTGCGCTCTGTTAGCGGCTTCTTGGAGGAGGGCCTCTGGTACCCTGAAAGAAAGCCTGAAGGGTGCAGACCGACGGCGTGGAGAGGCCGTCCTCCGCTAGCGCGCGGGAGAGACTCGGGTTACCACCTAATTTGTTTACTCGATGACTGCCTTGGCAGTGGCTTCCACCGGCCTTGCCCCCTGGGCTCCCACCCCAGTACCCACGAGCTCCTGCCGCCAGGCCTTGGCATCTTCACTCTACTCACAGCCCTGCTTCAGTCGTACCTGTGCACCCTCTATTTCCTCTCTATAACCCCTAAAATCCTAGCTTCACTGTGTCCCCAGTCTCCTTGCGCTCCCAACTCCCAGCCCTGATCCAGCCTCTGCTCTGCGGAGTTGAGTGGCAAAAGTTCAAAAATTCAAGCCTGAATCCAAGTAAGTGCACCAGCATTCTCCCTCCTCCTGTTGTCCCGGGACCAGCTGCCCCGCCCTGCCATCTTTTCAGAACTAAGTGGCCACAAAGACACCTTCTGGTGTCACAGGAGGCAGATTCCTGTGTAGGATATGACACTCAGCTACACACACACAGGTTTCTCATCCACCATAGAGAGCGCACCTGCCGCACCCACAAACGCCAGCACTGCTCCAGCACCCCCGCAGATTCAAATCCCGCTCCATCCAAGAGACATTTCCCTACTGAAGTTTCAAGGGTGACCACAGAGGAGCGACAATCCCAGGAGCCCCGGTAGTTGGCTTGACCTTAAGAAGACGCGGTTCTGCCCTGAACATGGAGCAGGAGGGAGACGCACCATGACCCAAGTGGCAAACTTGCGGGGAACAGCAGGGCTGGGCGTCAGTAGCCCCAGTCGGGATGACTAGCGACAACCCTGGTCGCTCGAGGGAGGGGTCGGGAGAGAGTGACTTGTGCCCCAACAGCCAATGGGAGCCCGCGGCTGCACAGGCCGCCCCCTTCCCGCAGCCTAGGCAGCGAGGAGGCGGGGTCCTCATTCCGTTGCTGCAGTCGCTCGCGCCCTCGGGCGGGCGAGGCCCGCGGTGGCCGGACACAGAATCAGGTGAGGGGGGCCAAGCCCGATAGGTGGGTGGCCGGGAGGACCGAACTGGGGATGGGGTGCTGCTTTCTGGATCCTCAGAGCTGCCCTGGAGACTGACCCCGGGCTTTGTTCTGGGCGTTGTGTTTTGCTCTGGCCCTTGCCAGCAGCTCCTCCGCTTAAGCCATAGAGAGGGTCATGCAACCTCTTTGAATGGGGATCTGCAGTCTGAGCCCAACGACCTCTGGGAATCGGGGATCACTGGGACCCTCGATTGCAGCTGTCCTAGGTGCTGAAGGTTCGTCCTCGAGGTCCGAGCCCGGAGGATGGTCCCCTAACCCCCATACACAAGAGTGGGGTGTGTAGTGAATGGCCCTCAATCCCTATTTCTCTCACACTGCTTGAAGTTCCGGGGACCACTGTAATCCTATCGCTACTCTCTCAGCCTCTATTGGGGGGCGGGGACCAGAATAGATAGATGACTCACATGAAAGCAAAATAAGGAGTGAAAAAGATGCTCCCACCTGACATCTTGGGAAAATGGCTTCAAACGTCAGACATGGTGCCTGAATCGGACGTCTGTCCAAAAGTGGGGGATGTGGGAGACTTAAGACATAATAGGAGGGCAGGATGCTTACGACAGGGAAAGAAGGGAAAGTTCTGGGGCACCACTCACATCCCCTCCCTAATTCCGGCTCTTCTCAGGCCTGGAGCGCACACTTCTGAGAGGCAGGCTCTGAGGACCTCCGAGACGCTGAGACTCCAGTCCCGCACAAAGGTTCATGGCACCCCCTGCACGCGGGGTCAATCTCTGGAGGGCCAGCAGATTCCTTCTGTACGTGTAGGGCCCCCGCCACGACCCTGCTGCCATGGCGCACAGTTTCACAGTGGGTTTCGACCCGCTGGGCCTAGGAGACCTTAGCTCCGGCTCGCTGAGCTCCCTCTCCTCCCGGGGCCACCTGGGCAGCGACTCAGGCTCGGCAACGCGATACCTGCTGAGAAAGCAGCAGAGACTGCTGAATGGGCCCCCCCGCGGAATCCGAGCCTCCTCGCCCATGGGCCGCGTCATCCTCATCAATTCCCCCATTGAAGGTGGGGATTGGGCCCAGGCTTGGGAGGCTAAAAGTGTAGAAAACAGACCGACAACCGAGACCTTAGTGGAAGGAGTGGAGCCAATATGGAGGGGGGAACACAAGAGATGGGAAGCTTAGGGATATGCGGGACCACATGGAATTCATACACTCCTGTTCACCTGCCCTGGCCTCTCCTCCAGGCCATCCTTAAGGGATCTAGGATCCTAGAGCAGCCAGAGGTGGGATGGAGGGGCAGAGAGGCGTGTGTGTGTGTGTGTGTGTGTGTGTGTGTGTGTGCCATGCCACCTCCCAAGTGGGCTGAACATAGTCTTGAATTGACCCCTTCCTCCCATTGACTATCTTTTTCCAATCTGGTGTGCTTAATACCTCCAGCTGGGCAGCTGGGCAGCTCAGGACAGGCAAGGACATCCCGGAAATTCAGCTCTGTGCTGTGCTTTGAGGAGTCAGGGTCCAGTTGGGCAGACAATAGTAAAGATGCTGAATGAGGGTGAAGCAGCAAATGTTCAGATGATGGGAAGACCAGAGACAAGGCTCAATTCTCATCTTCCAGAAATGGACAGTTTAGCAGGGGTTTGAGACAGAGCAAGGACAAAAGCTGAGGGTGGGGTGCAGATATCTTGGACAAAGACTGGAAGTGAGAAACCCTGGAGCACAGTGTGGCGGGCACATGGGAGATATACCCTGACTGCAGTGACAGATGTGAAGCGACAAAGAGCCAGTGAGCAAAACAGGACCCTGAATGCCAGGGGAGGAGCCAGGGCCCGGGCTTTCTCTGGGCAGGACCAGACAAACATCTCCAGCTTCCCTTATATCTCTCACCCAGAAGGGCTTCCCTGATGGATCCCAAACTGAACTGAATTTTTAGACTGTGTTCCTCCTGCCCTCTGGCCCCTGGTGGGCCATGCATTCAGAAAGCATGCTCACCTAGTCATCCACCAGACTGTGTCTCACCTGCAGATGAGCAACAAGATACTGCTGAGGGTCACCACTGTCCTTCTGATCAGCAATCAGAAGTTCCAGAGGAGTTAGGAGACATGGAGGAAACAGGCACTGTAATACTGGCTTTGTTAGTTCTGTTTTAGTAAAAGAACCCTAGATCCCCAGCCCCTCACCCACCATGCCCAACTATGATGTAAGCGCTTCTTCTAGAAATTCCAAGATTGCTTTATCCCTTTACCTCACCCTCACCCTAATGTCCCCTGTAAAACTGACCACATCCTCCCAGAGAGCAGCACCTCCTTGCAGCTGAAGGGCAAAGAGCTGCTCAAACCATCTAACTCCAGCCTATATGGTCTGGGAACCTCTGAGCTCAGAATGCTCCCGTCTGCCTGAACACAAACATTTCCCAACTCACCACAGCCATATTATTAGTTAGAACCACCTCAGGGAAATAGTGTCACTGGTAAGGGAGAGACAGTGACAATGGAGAAACAGTTGCAATCCCTATTATACCATGAGCTGATGAAACTCAACTGGCCCCAAAGAAAATACATAATCTTTAATCCAGATCAGCCCTTTCTCCTCATCTCCTAGTTGATTCATTTGTTCATTCATCCATTTATCCTTTCATTGAAAAAATGCTTAGTCAATTACCAAGCACTGTGTAACATACTGGGAATGCATTGGTGGAAGAGAATGAAGGTCAACAGTTCAAAACCTCCAGTTGCTCTGTAGGAGAAAGATTGCTCCTGTAAAGATTTACAGTCTTGGAATCATTATACAGGGTCGCTATGCGTTGGAACTGACTTGGTGACAGTGAGTTACCATAATTGAATTTACAGTCTAGTGGAAGGAGACAGTAAGTAATATATAAATAAGCAAGTAATGAGAACAGATGGTAAGAACTCTGAAGATAACAACTTGTGTAATTTGATAGAGCAATGGTTCTCAAACTTTAAAGTGAATGAGAATTTCCAGAGGGCTTGGGCTTTACCTCCAGAACTTCTGATTTGGTGGGTCTGTGGAAAAACCCAAGAATTCACATTTTAAACAAGTTTCTGGTGATGCTGATACTATCGGTCTGGGGACCATACTTTGAGAACCACAATAAGAGAGACTAAGGGACTTCTATAGGTAGGACTGTTTGAGAAGACTTCTTGGAGAAAGTGGCACTTGAGCCAGGAGCACAATTAGGAGAAGGCCTTCTTATCTGGGCAAGAGTAGTCCAGGCAGAGGAAACCCTGACAGAGCCTGGCCTGTATAGAGAACTGACAGAGCCTGGCTTTGCCGGTGTGGGCAAAGCTCAGTGGAGGAGGGGAGAGTGGCCACAGGTGAAGGCAGAGAGATAGGGAGAAGAACATCAATGAAGAATCTTGCAGGGCATGGGGAGGAGTGTGGCTCTTGTTTTAGAAGCACAGAGAACTGTCAGAAGTTTTTCATCAGGGGAAAATCATGATCTACTTGAAAAGTGGATTGTGTAGAGAATAGCTAAAGGAGGGAGTGTTACGATGTTGTTGTGGAGTCCCAGAAAGAGAGGCTCATGGCCTGGTTTAGGACAATGGAGGCTGAGGAGGTGCCATCCTTGGAAGTCTAAGTACCTGGGCTTCAAACCTTGGGTTTGATGTTCCTCTGGGCCAGGGAACAGAAGAGAAAGAGTGTTAGGGGAGTTAGAAGGGAGGAAAATGTTCCTTGGCTAGGGTTGACACGGTCCTTGAGGACTGTGCAGCTCTAACCAATTGGGAACACCCAGGATCTCCCAAGTGTAATTCTGCACCATCCCTGCCCACAGGCTGTCCTTGAGGATCTCTTCCTGAGCTGCCCTGATCATGCCTTGTAACCTGATTTCTCTTAGGTCAAATAGAGGGGTGTGTGTGTGTGTGTGTGTGATTTTCTCCCCCCTCTCCAACACCTCTAGAATAAGCCTTGCATACAGAAGAAATCTCAACTGAGTCTCACCTGGGAACCCATCTACCTTTCCCATCTCCTCACTTCTCTCTAAGTAGAGGACCTTCTCTAGGACCCTCATCAGTGCTCCTTTCTGAACCCTCCACCTTTCCAAATCTCACTTATCTTCCTCCTCCAAGAAACCTTCCCTGAGTAACCCAGAGGACAGAGCTTTGCCCACACAGTGGAGTTAGATAGAGGCAGATTTGTGCTCTGTGTAAGGGAAGCTAGGTCTGCCCTCTGTGGGGTCAACAAACACATCTAGGTCTTCCATGAGAGAATCCTTCAGACATCTACAGAAAGAGCAAATACACCATATTTTCACAAATAACATGCCCTTACAAAGAACATGCATACACTTACAACACGCAGAGCGCGAATAGGAAACTAGCATGCAAGGGGGTTTTCAAAACCCATATGGCTTATGTTATTTTTACAAAAAATAAGTTACTTATTTCTGCTGCTGAAAAGCCCAGGATGGAATTTGGACCCTTCTTTTCTGTCCATCTGATCCTTAAAGTGGCAGAATTTTTAGGAATTTGGCCTACTTCAGGAGTATGGGCGTGGGAAGCATTGGACCCCCATCCCTCACCCATGATGACAGAAGGAAAACTATGTTTTCTAGCATGGAGTCCTGTCCTTCTGTTTTCTCTTGTTCCATACCTTCTCTGACCCATAATCTCAAAAACATCTAGAGGGGACTCAGAAATTTCCCCCCCACCCACCCATTTAGAGCTCTAGGTACTTGTTTGGCTACCTCCATCAGCCCGACATGTATAGGTTCTGAGCTGGGAAGCCCTCTCTGGCCAGCATGAATATGGGGGTCATGTCTATGGTTCCACCCCCACAGCCAACAGTGATGAGAGCGACATCATTCACGCAGTCCGGGTGGAGAAGAGTCCAGCAGGGAGGTTGGGCTTCAGCGTGCGGGGTGGTTCTGAGCATGGCCTGGGCATCTTCGTCAGCAAAGTGGAAGAGGGGAGCAGTGCTGGTGAGTGGTGCCCCTGCCAGTGATACCCTAGACTAGAGGATATGACCCCCACTTTGGCAGGGTGGTGGGTATTGTTGTTAGTGATGGGGGACAGAGTCCTCAGTTCTGGAGGGCCTGATTCAATGGGGAGACAAGTCACCCTCAGAGTAGAGTGGGGTAAGAGACAGGCCCCTAGTCTAATGGGGGAAGTAGGGACTCCTAATGGGGAATCCTCAGTCTGCTAGAGGAAGCTCAATCTTACCTTGGGGATCTTCAGTCTGATGAGAATGCTCAGCTCTACCCTGAGCTACCCTTCTTCTGAGCGTTCCCTGATAATCCTCCTCATCCCTGGTGTAGAGCGGGCTGGCCTGTGTGTGGGGGACAAGATCACGGAGGTGAATGGGCTGAGCCTGGAGAGCACAACCATGGGCTGTGCTGTGAAGGTGCTGACAGGCAGCAGCCGCCTGCACATGATGGTGCGGCGCATGGGCCGAGTGCCGGGCATCAAATTCTCCAAGGAAAAGACCACATGGTGAGCAGTGTCCCACCCGGCCCTGCCTTACCTCACCCGCTACCACCCAAAGCCCACTGGCAGGAGAGGCTGAGACTGGCCTTTGCAAAGGGCCTGGCTAGGCTAGCATGCCTTCTGTTCCTCCTAGATGATGGACTCCTAAGACTCCCAACCCTCCTCCCTACAGCTCTGCTCTCCCTGATGCCAGTGGGCCAGCCCTCCACATTGCTGCTGCTCTGAAACATGGGAGAATCTAGCACCTTTCCCATAGGGAGCTTGGGAGGTTTAGGGATGGGATTGGCACATTGTAGCTGCTCAATTAAAAAGAGGTGCTCTGTATGCCCCTAGAGTCCTGGTGTGGCATTGTAGGATAAGCCCTGGACTGTTAGCCACAAGGTCAGTGGTTCAAATCCACCAGCTACTCTTCAGAAACCCTATACTGGATAGCGCTTAACAACAGACAATATGTATACCTTATTGAAGGGTCCAGGTCTGGGGATTTCCCCAGAGGCAAGACCCCTTTTCCCACCCCTCTTCCTATGCAGTTGTCAGGCTGCTGGGAGGAGAAGAGAGGGGTGGTGAAGGAAAGCAAGCACAAACTAATGATCCCTTTTTGTTGGCCCAGGGTGGATGTGGTGAACCGCCGATTGGTAGTAGAGAAGTGCAGCTCCACACCGTCCCCCAGCAGCTCAGAGGATGGCGTGAGGAGGCGTATTGTTCACCTATACACAACCTCTGACGACTTCTGCCTGGGCTTCAACATCCGTGGGGGCAAGGAGTTTGGTCTGGGCATCTATGTGTCCAAGTGAGGACTGGGGTGGGGAGTGGAATGGAGTAGGGCTGGGGTAGAACTAAACAAGAGGTCTGAAGTGGAACCTGGGAATGGGTCAGTAAATGAGGCCTGGCCAAAGACATGTGCAAGAGAAAATCAAGAGCAGAGCCTGGGGAGGGGAGCAGAAGTCACAGGAGGTGGAGTCAAGGAATTTGACTGCGGGATCCTATGTCCTTCTGCCCCATTCTCACAATTCTGTTACACTTGAGCACATTGCTGCTGCCACTGTGTTAATCCACCTCCTTGGGGGTCTTCATCTTTTTTTCTGACCCTCCACTTTATCAAGCATAATGTCCTTCTCCAGGGACTGGTTCCTCCTGTTGTGCACAGGGTCACTATGAGTCAGAACTGACTCAACAGCACCCTGTTTTCAAGAAGTAGGGGGTCTGGAATAGGATAAAGAAGGGCAGGGGCAGGTGGCCTAGCACACTGACACCCATCTGCCTGCAGAGTGGACCATGGTGGGCTGGCTGAGGAGAATGGCATCAAGGTAGGAGACCAGGTCCTGGCCGCCAACGGTGTCAGGTTCGATGACATCAGCCACAGCCAGGCGGTGGAGGTGCTGAAGGGCCAAACGCACATCATGTTGACTATCAAGGTGGGCAGGGCTATGGGAGTCAGGGAGGGTGACTTTAGTACTTAATGATGCCCATTGTTCTGCGCTTTATAGGACATTTTCACAGCTATATGGGAGGTAGGTGGGCATTGTTCTTATTCTCATTTTGCAGAAGAAGAAACTGAGGCTTAGAGAGGGAACAGACCTCAGGAACCATAGTCAGTTATTCAGCAGGCCAGTGGCAAGGCCTGGTTTCAATCCTGCTGCCCAGATTCCTAGGGTAGTGCTCCTTCCTATGAGTGGTAGAGGCCTAGGCTCGAAAGGAGAGGGTGGGGTGGTAGTTGTGGTTTGGGGCAGGACCTGGGTGGTGGGCATCCTCAGGACTCCAAAGGAGGGCTGGGCTGGGGGAGATTGGATTTCAGGGGAGGCAGCTGGATTCATTATTTATGAGGACCAAGTCCTTCTGGCCCCAACTCATGGAAGAAGTGATGCCTCAGGCTCTTTCAGAGTCCAGCGCTGGCCCCTGCTCCACCTTTATTCTTTCCCCACAGCTCCACCCATCTTGTCATTCAGTGTCTCTTCTCTCCTATTCCCATCTCTCCCATTCCCAATTTCTTCACCTCCTTCCCCTAAAATGATCCCAAACATTCCTCCACACTCCCACCGTGCCCCTCATTCATCAGTTCAACAACATTTTTTTAAATGCCTACTATATACCAACCACAATACCAGGGAATACAGCAGTGAACAGGAGAGACAAGATCTTTGCTGCTGAGGGAGACAAACAAATAAATAAATGAGATACTTGCAGACTGTGACAAATGCTATGAGTATAAGGAAATTGAAGTCCTGGTATGGCACCATAGGATAAGAAACTAGGCCACAAGGTCAGTTTGAACCCAAAGCTCAGCAGTTCAAATCCACCAGTAGCTCCTTGGAAACCCTATACAGGGTGACTATGAGTTGGAACTGACTCGAGGGCACTTAACGACAGCAAGAAGAAAATTCACAGAAAGATGGGATGATTTAGAAAAGGCCCCTTTAGGCTGGACAGGGCTCTCTGATGAGGTGATGAATGATAGGAAAGTAGGATCTAGCCATATAATAGACAGAAGGAAGAAATTCCAGGCAGAAGGAACAACTAGTACAAAGACTGTAAGGTGCAAAGAACTTGGCATGTTCAGAAATAAAGTGGCAAGTGTGACGAAAGCATGGTGAACTTTGGGGGAGAGAATGGGGCTGAAAAGCTTATTTCAGTCCCATCACTCCCTAATTCTTACCCTTCGTATTGTCCATGCACCCACGTCCTCTTTTGCCCACATGCCTTCCCCAGGAGACTGGCCGATATCCTGCCTACAAGGAGATGGTTTCTGAATACTGTTGGTTGGACCGATGTAAGTGGCCCAGGCCCCAAGATTAGAGAAAAAGGATTGGCCTGAAGATGGGGTGGGCTCTCTGAAGAAAATAAAGGCTCTAAAGTCACTCAGCAATTGGGTCCGGGAGATTGCTTAGCAACCTGTCCCCCAGGTCCTGTAGTTTTATCTGCTTGTACCCTCCGCCAAGCCCAGGGGTGGTTGCAAGCCTGTAGCACCAGACCAGACCCCTGAGACAGCTCTACCTCCCCTCTCTTTGCAGTGAGCAATGGGATGTTGCAACAGCTGTCCCAGGCCTCCGAGAGCAGCTCCAGCGTCTCCTCCTACGCCTCCAGCGCCCCCTACAGCTCGGCTGAAGGTTCGGGCTCTCTGCCCTCCGACCGCATGGACGTCTGTCTTGCGGCAGAGGAGCCCGTCAGCCGTGGGCCAGGCTGGGGACGAGCAGACACAGCCATGCAGACGGACCCCGATGTGGGGGGCCTAATGGAAACCTGGTGCAGCGTAAGGCCCACGGTCATTCTCAGGGATACGGCCATCCGCTCCGACGGTTCCCCCTCTGCCCGCCGCCTTGACTCTGCGCTCTCTGAATCCCCCAAGACTGCTCTCCTGCTGGCCCTCAGCCGACCCCGCCCCCCCATCACACGCTCCCAGAGCCACTTGACCTTATGGGGTACGTGAGGAACAGATGGCTGCTGCATTTTCTGCAGCCTCTGGTAGAAAACCTTTCCTGTGCCCCAATCTCTGCTCCAGTCCCTGGCCCAACCCCTACCCCAAACCTGTCCCGATAATACACTCACCCCAACTCTGGCTCCGTTTTACACTAGGCTTGGGCCCAAACCCACCCTCAGTCCCAGCCCTATCTCCAGCCTCTCCATCCCAGGCTGCACCCTAAACTGTACACACACACACTCGCTCTCAATTGCATCAACTGACCCTCAGTGGAAACTCCCCACAGTGTTTGCTGTGGGGTAGTGGGAGGGGGTAGAAGGTTGGAGGTCCTCACCCCACCCTGAACGACTGCAGATCCTGCCTACTTCCCGTACTCCCCTTTCTCTCTGCCCCTTCCCATACCCCTGCCCATTCCCCCCTCCTTCCCTTCTGCCCACCCTCCTGTCTCCTGGTGCTCCCTCGTGTCTGCAGAGGAGAAGCAGCGGAAGAAGGAGAAATCGGGGTCCTCTGGGGAGAAGGGTGCCCTGCAGCGCTCCAAGACGCTGATGAACCTCTTCTTCAAGGGAGGCCGACAGGGGCAACCAGCAGGGAATGGGCGCAGAGAAGCCTGGACTCTAGACAGTGGGAGCTCAGCCAAGTCCCGCCCTCGCCTGGACATGGAAAAAGGTAAGTGCTGACTTGATCAGATAGGACAGTGATAACATCCACCAGCTTTGGCATCTAGCAGTTCTGGGTTTAAATCAAGCTAGCTACGAATCACCACTCAACCCCTGTGAGTCTGTTTTCTCCTCTGGAAAGTGAAAATAATAATACTTAGATCTTTAGGAATAGTGAGGAATAAGTGAATCTGTGAATGTACATTACTTAGCATACAGAAGATCTGACACACAGGAAAGGCTTAGAAAATATAGTGATCATTGTTATACTGCACATCACCCCGTTTTATTGAAGGGGACACTGATAGAGTAACAGCAAAACAAGGAAGTAGAAAAGTTTGAATCAGACCCCAGGGCTTTTGAAGATGTAACATTCCTTTCCTGGAGCATCTGGCTTCACCTTCCTACCCCACAGGTCTTAATTCTAAAACCATCCTTGAACAAGGTCATTTCTAGATCAGGACCCAGACAGAAGGGCCCATCCCAAGCTGTGCTCATGTTAAGGGCTTACTGTGGACCCTCACAAGCAGCTCTCTCATGTCTCTGGTTGAGGTTCAGAGACTAGACAACAGGGAATGAATGAAGACTCTTCAGGATGCATGTGACAGATACTCAACTCCAATTAGCTTCTTGGCTTAGCTACTGATTCAAGCTGGGTACAAAAGTTTCAAGAAGATCATTAAACATCTGTCCCCTCACCTTTGGTTCTACCTTTCTGTGGGTTGACTTCATTATCATATAGGTTTTGCCCACCTGGAGGTAAGAGGGCCACTTAGCAACCTCAGATGAGAGAGCTCCTTCAACAGTTCCAAGCTTAAGCCCTATGGTGGGTTCTCACTGACCCAGCTCACATCACATGCCCAGCTTCGCATCCACTATGAGAGGAAAAGAGAGAGAGGGCTTTTATATAACTGCCTGGGCCATGTGATCAACCTCAAGTACCTAGGCTGAGAAAGGGGATGAGGTGGGAGATCTCAGGTGAAAATCAGGGTACTGTTTCCAGAAGGAGGTGTGGATGTTGGGCAGACAAAAATAACCAGAGGACAAAGATCTGGAGCCTGCTCAACCCCATGTTCTGGGGTTTCAAGGTGACAGTCCCATGGGAGAGAGAATCTCTTTAAATGAGAGCAGTCCAACCCTTCTGCTTCAACCCATTTCTCTTCCCACAGCTCCCAGGGCCCTGCCCTCTCCCAGTTCTCCTCCCACCTCTCTGGTCACTCCTTCAAAGGCTCCTCTTTCTCCCTCTGTCTCCTGAAGGTAGGTGCTCCTCCAAACTCTGTCCTTGAGCTTCTTCCCTTATACATTTGCTTTCAATTGAGTGTACACAGGCAGGGTTCAGGCTGCACCCTCTCTTGATCTAGACCCTTCACTGTCTCCCATGGCTAATAAATGAAGTCCCTTAGGGCCTGGCCTCTTGCCTCCTATCCAGCCAGGCCTGAGTCCTCCCAAGCCCCATTCTGAGACTGGGGCCAGGACTTGTGGCTGAGTCGCTTTCTTTTTCTTAGCAGGGGGAGTGGGGCCTGTTCAGAAATTTGTCACCTGGAGACTAAGACGTGGTAAGTCATGCATTCTTTTACTGAAGATTGGCTTTCAGTACAGGCGTCCTGGTGGTGTTGTGGCTTAAGTGTTAAGCTGCTAACTTGAAAGGTCAGTGGTTCAAACCCACAAGCTGCTGAGAGGGAGGAAGATGAGGCTGTCTGCGCCCTTAAAGATTTACATTCTGTGACTGGATGAAGTAGAGCTACAGATGGGGGTGAATGCTAGGGGATAACTATGGGATTTGGTGCTAAACTCGGCTGGTGACAAACATAGGGAATCCATCAGATAAGGGGGTGAATACTGAGGAGCAGCTAAAAGAAGATAAAATTTACTGGTAAATATTGGGTTGAAAGAAAAAGGATTGTATTGGGGTGCATTGTTGGGGACTGAGGGACTTGGGTTGGAACTCCCAAAGAAAGCTTTTGAGGAGATGAGGGAGCCTCTTCTAGGATCCAGTGGGGGATAGACTGATGTGAGGGGCCAAGGACAGTGTGTTGAGGCTCCTTTAAGGAACAGACTAATGTGGTGGTCTGTTTGGGGGACTCAGGGGACTGGGTTTGAAGCTCCATTGGTGGGAGACCATGATGACAAACATCTGGGCCATCAAGGCTATCTGGACCCTGCAGCTTGTCTGTTTTGGACCCTGGCCTCCCGCTGAGGGAAGCCCTTCCCCCTCATGGACCCTGGTTCTTCATTGCGGCCTTTTGCTCTTGCTCCGTTGTAGAACGGGAGAGGGGCCGGGCCCTGCTCTATACCAGGTCTGGGAGCCCCTCCAACCAGCTGCCCAACATGGATGAGCAGGTGCAGGCCTGGGAGGGCCGACGGCCCCTGATTCAGGACCTGGCCCGGCGACTGCTGACAGATGACGAGGTGTTGGCAGTCACTCGTCACTGCTCTCGGGTGAGTGCCCACGCAGCCCCAGTTCCCGGTCACTCAGTCACCCAAGGCCTCAGTAATTCACCTGGTGGTTGTTTTGTGCCGTGGAGTCGGTTCTGACTCATAGTGACCCTGTATTGGGTTTCTCAGGTTGTAAATCTTTTGTTTTGTTGTTAAGTGCCGTTGAGTCGATTCTGACCCATAGCGACACTGTATAGCGTTTCCGAGGAGCAGCTGGTGAGTTTGAACTGCCAACCTTGCAGTTCGAAAGGCTTTGCAGTCTGGTGCATTAACTCACAGCACCATACCAGGAGCAGAAAGCCTCATCTTTCTCCTACTGACTGGTAGATTCAAACTGCTGACGTTGTGGTTAACAGCCCAACTCATAACTCACTACACTACCAGATCTCCTACCTCAGTCACCTAGTCCTTCATTTGTTGAAGTTACTACCCACTGACCGGGCTCCTAGTATGGTGCTGTAGGACATACAATGGGCTACAAAACCCACCGGCTGCTCCTCGGAAACCCTGTACAGGGTCGCTGAGTCGGAATCAACTCAATGGTACTTGACAATAACAACCCACTGAGCAGTGTCTGGACTCAATGCAGAGAGGCTTATGGTCAATAAAAACAGATGCTCCCCCAGCTTCCCTCCTCAAAGCTAAGTCAGGAAGGGGAGCTAAACAATAACTGTTGTTGTTGTCAGGTGCCATCGAGTGGGAACTGACTCATAGTGACCCCATGCACAGCAGAACGAAACAATGTCCGATCCTGGGCCAACCTCACTACTAGAACCTTCTAAATACATGGGGTTACCATGAATCGCCTCAACAACAAATAACAATTAACATCTAGAGCGATAGAACATGCCAAATGCTATGAAGGGAAAGAATATAAGAAAATAATCCAGGAGGCACAAATTAGATGGTGTAGTCTGGAAGGCCTCTGTGAAGAGGTGATACTTAAACTGAGGAGAGAAGGAGCCAGAAAGTAAAGGGAGGAGTTGGGGGAGAGATTTCCTCTAATCCCCTGCCTCTACTCTCCTAGAAGCTCCAGCCTTTCACCCAGGCCAAACCCCCTTCCCTGTTATCCAGGTAGCTAATCCTTTGTCCCCATACATACTTCAAGGCTTCCCCAGCACATACACTGTGCTTCTTCCTTCCCTTCCACTTCAATCAGAACCCAAGGACCCCAAGGTGGGATGGATATGAGGGAGAGTTTGTAGCCTGTGACTAGGCCTCTCCAGGTGGATTGGAGGGTCCCCCATCTCCCTCTTCTTGGGATGGGCTTCCTGAGGTGAACACTGCTCCGGGCACACATAAGCCTGTTGTGCAAGGGCAAGCAGAGAAGTTTCAGGAAGGCTTTCACCTACCCCCTCACCTCGGCCAGGGTGGGACTGTACTGTGTGTTTGTGTGATGTGTGCATTTGTATGTCTGTAGGGCTGGGTGTCGAGGTGCCTGGGTTTGTGCTGACATGACTGTACAATTGTATCTTTGTGTATGTGAGCCTACACATGTCTGGCTAAGCCTATGTGTGTGTATGTTGAGGTAGCTTTCACAGTCCACTTTGAGCCCAGTTAGTCTGCAGCTCTGGGCTCTGACCACTAGGGGGGATCTGTGTCTGTTTCTTTGATTGGCTCTTTCTCTGCCTTCCTCCACTCCCCCTACCCTGCCTGAGCCAGTAACTCCTCTCTCTGTGCCCTCAAATCACCTGGGAGCTTTATATACCATTCAAACCTGACCCAAGCCATGCCCACACCAGGAGATCACACCATCTGGGTGGAGCCTTGGCCTGAGGGACTAGTAAAGCTCGCTTAGTGACTTGGATGCATATCCTTGAACCTCAAGCTTGTCCCCTTCCTTCGTTCTGAGCCATCTCTCCATAGCTGCCAGACCAAGCCTTATAAACTACCTCTCTTACATCCCTCACTCCCATCCACCCCCACCAGCAGCCCCTATCTTTGGCAGAATAGAATACAAACTCCTTACCCTCACATCCAAGTATCCCCCAAGCCCCGCTCTCTCATCACCCCCACATCTGACCCTTTCTCAACCTGAGCTTTCCTATCATCTTTCCATGGCCCCACGTAGTTATAACTGCACAACTCTAGAGGACTAAGCTACTCAAGGGTCATAGTCACAAAGCTGCGCAGCCTGCCAGGGAGGCTCTCTGTGTACCCCACAATAAAGACAGATCTCTAGCTGCTCACTATTCCACAGCACACGTGAAGCACTTTCCTCCCAGCTTCCATGCTGTTGCCTCCATCTGTCCTGAGATAGTGTCAATGTCATTGTCTCTTGGAGACCACTCTGATCTCTTTCCTTCTCCTCACACCCCTCACCCCATCACCAGTGCGTTGTAGTTCAATGGATCACGTGACTCATTCTACCCTCCCCCCCCCACACACACACACACACACTCCCAGTAGGTTCTAGGGTAGGGTCTTCATTGTGTTCCTACTGCCTAGTACAGGGTCCAGCACTAGAGTATGGAATGCAGGTCTGTAGATTGAAGTGTGTGTACATTTATAGCATATCTCTCTCCAGACAAAAGGAGGTTGTGTCCTTGTGTGTAGGTGTGAGTCCCTCTTACTTTGGCCCTAACCACACATACTTCATATTTTATGTATTTCCAGATACTTGTGAATGACTCGCCTTGCCCAGAAGGGCATGCTCTTTCTGTGTCTGTGCCCACAGGGGATGCTCTGGGGCTGACTATGTCTGTGCCTCCTCACCACAAGTGGGTGGCTCCCAGAGTTCCATTCGAGTTGGTGGCAGTGGGGAGTGGCTGTGGCATCCTGGCAGTGCCAGACAGAGGGGGCTCCACCCCCATGGTACTAACTAGAGAAGCTTCCTGTAGAGCAGGGGTGGGGAATGTCCGGCCTGCAAAGTTATTTGGTCTGGCTCTGCCAAGGCAATCTCAGTTCCAACCATCACATGGTTGTTGTTAAGTGCCATCGAGTCAGTTCCAACCCATAGCCATCCTGTATAGGGTTTCTGAGGAGCGACTGGTGAGCTTGAACTGCCGACCCTGTGGTTCAAAACGGACTTTGCAGTCCAGTGCATTAACCCACAGTGCCACACCAGGACTCCTGTAACCATCACATTAAGGGTGAATTAATTAAATATTTGACCAAATATAGCAGGCTAAGTTTTAAATTAATAATTTTGTATGGCCCACAAATGATGTTATAAATTTTGGCAGAAAAAAACCCTGTATAGGGTTTCCAAAGAGTAACTGGAGGATTTGAACCCCCAACCTGGTAGTTTAAACAGAACTTGCAGTCCAGTCCCTGGCCAGGAAACAAACCCCAGGCCACAGTGGTGAGAGCGCCAAATCCTAACCATTAGAACAGCAGGGACTGTTGGGCCTTGAACTGCCGACCTTTCAGCACCACCCCAGGACTCTCCTGAACAGCCTTAATTTGTCTGTCTTTGTTCTGAGATAGGCTGAGACTGTCAGGCCTACAGTCTAGTGTTTGGCTTGAATTCCTTCTTTACCCAAGATTCCATCCCTTCTCATACTTCTTATCTGTGTGGCCTTGGCAAAGTCCTCCACTCTGAGCCTTAGTTTCCTAATCTATGAAACGGGAATCACTAATCCAGTTGTAGGACTAAATGGAAAGTTCTGGTATAGCAATGGAGATAAATACTGGACTGCTAACAGCAAGGTTCTCTGGTAACGTAGTGGTTACAAATTGGGCTGTGAGCTGCAAGGTCACCAGTTCGAAACTACCAGCTGTTCCCTGGTAGAAAGATGAGGCTTTCTGCTCCCGTAAAGATTTCCAGCCTTGGAAACCCTGTTCAGGGTCGCTATGAGTTGGAACCGACTCCACGGCACATAACAACAACAACTGCAAGGTTGGTGGTTCAAAACCACCAGTCACTCCTAGGAAACCCTGTAGAGTCTGAGTTAGAACGGACTCAACGGCACTTAACAACAACAAAGCTAAATGAAAGTCTTGGTGAGGCGCTGTAAGAAAAGCACTGGACTATAAACTGCAAGGTTGATGGTTCAAACCCACCAGTCACTCCTCAGAAACCCTATACAGGGTCACTATGAGTTGGAACCGACTTGACAGGACTTAGTAACAATAGGACTAAATGAAAGGCTGTCTGTAGAATGCTTAGACCAGTGCTTATCCCAGAACGGTTTGTTATTTTGCTATTATAGGTCTATTATTATTATTTCAAGCTCTTATCTAATCATCTAGATAAGACCATCCTGTGGACAACCTGGGGATGGAGAGAAACTTTCCTAAAGCTTGGAGGGGTCGGTGGAACCCAGGGCCTCTACATGCCCTGGTATTTACCCTCTCCCAGTTCTGGAAGTCCCCACTGCTATCTGACCTGTGGTCCCTCTGTCTGCAGTACGTGCATGAGGGTGGTGTGGAGGAGCTGGTGAGGCCCCTGCTGGCCATTCTAGACAGACCAGAGAAGCTGCTGCTGCTAAGGGACATCAGGTGGGGAAAGGGCCAAGAAGCAGCTGGGATGGGGTGGGGAGTTCGAGGTTTCCAGGGCTGAAGTCTGCTCAACATCTTCAGAACTGAGCCTTAGCTCACTCTCTACCTCTTGGTCTCTCCCAGGAGTGTGGTGGCCCCCACAGACCTGGGCCGCTTTGACAGCATGGTGATGCCTGTGGAGCTGGAGGCTTTTGAGGCCCTCAAGAGCAGGACAGGTCAGCTGGGGGGGCAGGACTTCGGCATCTTGAACCCTGCCCCCCAAGCAGGGATGAGGGTGGGTTTCCCAGTGGAAAGGGGGACCGAGATTGCTAGAGATCCTTTAGTTGTGTCCAGCAAGGAACCTGACTCTTACCTGTCCCTCTCTGCAACCAGTGCGGCCTTCCGCTTTACGGCAAGCCCGGCAGGACTCACCACCGAAGCGTCACCTCATCACCCCTGTGCCTGGTCAGTCACAGTTCCAGGGCCTGGGAGGACTGGGAAGGGTTCAAGGGTCTCCTATTCCTGCCCGTCACGGAGCAGTTGTAGTTGGGTGGTACTGGAGATTTCTGGGAAGGAAAGCCCCTCAGAACCATTTCTATCACGGTCATTCACCACCTGCACTATGATTTACTTAATCATTGTTTTGCAACCCACTCACTTTTAAAATTTAGTCTTGTACTACGCAGTAATCTCTGAGAAACCATCATTTGGTGTGCTATTTATATTTTCTCAGACACATTAAAATAAAACTGTAACTATACAACAGAAAATATTAAAATACTCTTGAGTATTATCATAGAATTGGAGTCCTAGCCTGGTGCTGTAGGATAAGCAATGAATCTCAAGGTCGGTTTGAACTGCAAGACTGGCAGTTCAAACTCACCAGTCACTCCTCAGAAACCCTATACCGAGTTGCTATGAGTCAGAACCGACTTAACAGCACTTAACAATTATAGTAGAACCTGTTTGCCTGCCCCAGTGGGAGGTGGCCCTCACCAACTGGCTGCTGTGGGGCCGGGACAAACCTAGGCCTGCTTCTCCCAGGCCCTTCACATACAAAGGAGAGGGCTGAGGTCTGGAAGGATGGTCTGGGCTGAGGTAAGGAGGGAACAGCCTGACCTTGTATCTTTTCCCCCAGACAGTCGAGGAGGCTTCTACTTGCTGCCTGTGAATGGTTTCTCAGAGGAGGAAGATGATAGGGAGCTCAGGGAGCGGCTGGGAGGCCTCAAGGTCTCCCGGAGTGCCTCTGTGTCCCACCATTCCCACAAAGGGATCCCCCCTCTCCAAGATGTGCCAGTAGATGCCTTTGCCCCCCGCCAAAGTGCCTGCACACCCCATCCCCAGCCACCTCCCATTGCTCCTCGGCCCCCAAGGCCTAACTGGCTGCTGACAGAGCCCCAGACCCATGAGGACCCTCAGCACTTCCTGAACCAGGGATCAACCCAGAGTCACAGTCGAAGCCACAGCCGAGGCCGAGGCAAGTCCCCTGGACGGAGGCGTTCCCCGTCCCCTGTCCCCAGCCCCAGCACAGCCAATGGACGCTACCACAAGCCACGGAAGGCCAGGCCTCCTTTGCCACGACCTCTGGATGGGCAGGCAACCAAGGCAGGGGACAATCAAGGGTCATCCGAGAATGAGACTGGCAAAATCCCAGCCAAGGTGGCAGCCCCAAAGACCCCCAATGGGGAGCTGAGGACAGTCACGCTATCCAAGATGAAGCAGTCCTTGGGTGAGTCCAAGTGGGGCTTGGCCTGGTAAGATGGACACTTGAGTTTGGGTGAGGTTGGTTGGCTTGGTTTGGGGGTGTGGCTAGGGGGCCTGGGCCTAAGAAAATACCCCAGGGGGGTTCTATATTTTAAAGAGTTTGAAGACTGGAGGACCAGGATTTTGGATTGAATTGAGGTTCAGGTAATAACAAAATTTGAGGGTTTGAGAGAAGTTGGATTGGAGCTTGGAGTTATAGGTTTTGGGGTGTGGATACAAGCTCAATCAGTGTTTGTCCCTCTCACTAGGCATCAGCATTTCTGGGGGCATTGAATCCAAGGTGCAGCCCATGGTGAAGATAGAGAAGATCTTCCCTGGAGGTGCTGCCTTCCTCAGTGGGACGCTTCAGGTGTGTAGAGCGCACCTAGACTCTCTAGGCTCAGGGAAGGCAGTAGGCTGGGACAAAGGCATCCTCCAGCCAGACATGTTGAGACTAGGCCACAGAAAGAGGCTTGGGGCAGGGGACAGGCATGCAAGATGAGCAGTCCTAGGGGAAAAAATCTGTCCCCTCATGCCAGCCTGAGCCTGAGGGCGGCCCATCCTGTTCCACCCCAACCCCCAAGGGACAAAGGGCCATTGTCCATCCCCCTCACCCTGCCCCCCAATGGCTCCAGGCACAAAAGTCCCATTGTCCATCCCCCTCCACCCAGATGGGGGCGGAGTATCCTATCTAGTAAAGGTGAAAGGAGGCTGCCTTTAAGTTGGGTGGTAGGGTGAGGGGTGACCTGAGGGGAGGGCTGATTCTTCCACTCCATCCTAGGCTGGCTTTGAACTTGTGGCAGTGGATGGAGAAAGCCTGGAACAGGTGACCCACCAGCGAGCAGTAGACATCATCCGCCGGGCTTATCGAAACAAGGCTCGGGAGCCCATGGAGTTTGTGGTCAGGGTTCCTGGGCCCAGTCCACTACCCTTACCCTCTGACTCATCAGCCATCACAGACCAGCACCTTCCTCCTGTCCCATCCCCTGCCCACTGACCCCTATATGCTATTCTAATCTGCTTCCATCTATCAGTGCCCAGATGCTATTGATCCTCTTCTCATCAACACCCAGACCCACCCACTGATGCCCAGCTCTCCCTTCCATTAATGCCAGACTCCTGCTAACCTCTAGATCATCCCCTCTTCAACCCTGTAGACTTGATACAGACACTAACCTAACTCTCCCTCCTTCTCTCCAGACACCCTGCTGTCTCCTGGACATCTCTGAGCCTGCTCAGGATTCCCTCAGAACCACATTGACTGCTCTGTCATACTTCCCTCCTTTCCCAATGGTCACAAAGGCTCTGCCCTTCCAGATAAACTTGGTGTCCAAGTACAAGGTGCTAGGGGATAATAGACTGTCACCTGTGTTCAGCACACCTCCCAATATAGAAGGGGATCCAGAAACTCAAGGTGTGAAGCCTGAGACTGGAAGCACTGTCTCATTGGCTCCACTTGGTCCCCCTAAGCACTGAGGGACATGCACTGTCAGACAGGGGCTCCAAGCAGCATGCTGAGTGAGAGACAGGATGGAAGGCTCTTGTAGTCCCTCAAACCATGAGACGATTTCATGTTGTGGTTCACTAGGCGCTCAGACATTCTACTTGATTTTCTTCTCTTTCCCTAAGACCTTTCAGGGGTAGGGGAAGGAAGTCACACAAGTTCATATAATCTTCATTCACTTTTTTAAAAACAAACAAAAGTTTTTTTTAATTTTTTTTCTTTGGGTTTGTACACGAAATTTACAGTGTGAAAAATATACAAGTGAATTCGCGGCCAAAAACCTAGGTGTTGGAGGGGTTTGGTCACAAACATATATAAACAAAACATTTCTAAGTTCTTCCTTTGGTCTGACTACAGCCCCCTGATTCCATGACAGGCAGCAGAGCTGAAACTCTGGGAGTGGGACCCCAGGCCCAGCCCTGTCGCCCAACATGGGCAAGGTGGGGCAGGCACATCTGGAACAGCTGGCGCCATCTGGCTCTCTTGGGCTTTGGGATGGGGACGGATGTGTTTCGGTAATCCCTTCCTCTTTCTGGCTCCCCTGGCTGGGGTGAGCTGGTGAATGTCTGGAGGTGAAGAGTTGGCAGATTGGCATTGATAGCTGTTAGGGAGTGAAACAAGTAAAGTAGGGGCCTCCAAGTGACATTAAACACAGGGACCTTCAAGGGGTCTGATCTTGTTCCTCCAAGCCATGGGGTCACCCCGAGTTCTTGGCAGTGGCCCAGAGGTCTGGCACCAAGGAGGTGAGTGGCTCTGGGGCCCTCTGTGGACCTTGGGGCTACTGCCCCCTTTCAGCAGAGCTCCCTACAGAGCTGGAGGCCAGGGGCCCTAGATCTCGGTGGCAGCGATCTCCTCCAGGCAAATGCAGGGGGCTGACTCAGCCAGGCCCAGGTCAGCGAGCTCCCGGGCCTCCAGCTCCAGGCTCAGCTGCTGCAGCTCCTGCTCCAGCTGCCTGTTTCGCCGGTACATCTGGATATAGTTGTGTTGCAGCTGCTTCTGGTAGCGGATCACCTGCTCCTTCTCGGCCTGCCAGGCCTGCCGCTCGCCCTCAAAGTTGTCCTGCTGCTCCTCACCCCGCCGCCGCTCCTGCTGCAGCTCTGCCCGCAGCCTCTCTACCTGGGCCCGCAGGCTGCCCCCCACCCCTGCTGCTGCCCTCTGTGCCTTGGCCTCATCGCTCTCTGCCAGGAGGAAGGGGTCAGTGGTGGCAGGTGGCACAGGAGGCTCCCGGAGTCCAACTGCCTCAGCATCCAACTGCCCAGCTTTCTCCCGTAGCCGGTCTGCCTCTTGGCGATGCCGCTGCAGCTCCTGGGAACAGGCCTCTAGCTCCAGCTCCCGTGCACGGGCTGCCTCCTGGAGACCCCTTGCCCGGCCCTCACTGACCCGCAGTGCAGCCCGGGTCTCCCGCAGCGCCACCCGTAGGGCCACCAGCTCACTGCCCTTCTGTACAAGCTCGGCCTGAGACTCCTTCAGTTGCTGCTTCAGCAGGGAGATCTCGCCTGACTTCTGGCACACCTGTTGGGGTGGGGAGTGCGGGGAGGGCAAAGGGTAGTCAGGAAGGATGGTGAGAAGGGTTTTGCCCTGGAGGGGTCAGGCCCTGAGCATCATGCTGGGAATTTGGGGAGAGAGGGCTCAATCATCCCCATTTTACAGTTGCAGACACCCAGACAAGCATGGCGACAAATCCAATATCATATAGCCACTGAACAGAGTCAGATCTTTGTCCTTCAATGCTGGTTTCTGTAAGTCATCATAAGACATTGTGGAAGCCCTGTCTCACCCTGCCCAGAGACTCAGAGTGGCAGATGTTGTGTGAATGGGGGCAAATGACAACAGTGCCCACATTTCTGGTTGACAGGCATTACTGTGCATATTTGTTACGAGTACGACATTGGAGCCAGGTTGCCTGGATTCAAATCTCAGCTCAGCCACTTAACTAGGTGTGACTTTGAACACTTAAGTTTTCTAAACCTCACTTTCCTCATCTAGTAAAATGGAGTTATTAACAGCACCCACCTTCTATGTTGCTGTGAGGATTACATGAAATAGTTGGTGTAGCAGGCTTAAAATGGTGCCGGGCAAGTAGCAAGCACCACATCCTTATTGGCTGGAAGGTGGCTAGGACAGGGATGTGGGCACTAGACCAGACCCGTGAGGAGACCACACTTAGCAAGGGACATCAGGGAGCCCACATCACACAGAAGAAAGGAAGTGGGGGGGGGGGGGTCATCTGTAGTGGCAGGCTAAGGTGTATATGACTTTGTGTGTTCCTTGTCTGGCCTACCTCCCACTTTGTTTCCTCCAGTCTCGGTCCCAGTTCCCGCTGCTCGCGCTCAAAGGTGGCACAGCGCCGCTCTAGCTGCTCACGCTCCTGAAGCAGCTGCGCAAAGTCATCCTGTAATTGCCGCTTCTCCTGCTGTAGCTGGAATACCTGCAGCTGCAGCAGCTGCTGGGCCCGCTGGGCCCGCTGGGCTGCCTGCTGCGCCTGCACCGCACAGTCCTCTCTCAGGACATCGCGCTCTCGCTGCCAGTGCCGCTGCCTCTCCTCATATACCTGTGGGTGAGAAGGCAGAACTGGGTCGTGGGCAGTTCCCCAAATGCTCAACTCTCCAGATGTTCTGGTAGACCCCTGGCCTGCGCTCACGGAGGGTTGATTCCGTTAAATAACGATAACCATGGCAATCATAAAGGAGCCCTGGTAGCGCTGTAGGATAAGCATTGGACTGCTAACTGCAAGGTTGGCAGTTCAAAACTACCAGCCACCCCATGGGAAAAAGATGAGGCATTCTGCTTCCATAAAAATTTGTATCTTGGAAGTCTACCTTTTATAGTAATAACAGAAATAACCATGCTACTACTACTTGGTAATACCAGCATTTCTTAGAAGTCCTGGTGTGGTGCTATAGGACAAGCACTGGACTGCTAACTGCAAGGTCGGCAGTTCAAACCCATCAGATGATCCTCAAAAACCCTATAGAGGGTCAATATGAGTCAGAACCGACTTGACAGCACTTAACAAGAAGCACTTCTTAAGTGCCAGGCATTATTCTGAATACTTTATACCTTTCACGTTATTTCATGGTCATAATAACTATGAAGCCAAAAAGATTCCCATTTCTAGACAAGGAAACTGAGACTCAGTAAGGCTAAGTGACTTGCTCAAGGTGAGATGAGGGTGGAGGGTGGTCACAACAACTGCCCAACACCCGCCAGCACCAGTGAATGAACACACTTCTTGGATTCCCAGAACCTCTGATGCTCCACCACACCACCCCCCATGATCACTGCTGACCACACCTGGCATACGGTTGCCTCGCTCTCATCCAGACTGTCCCGTAGCTGCTGCAGCTCTGCCTCTCGGTCTCGAAGCTTGCCTTCCAGGACACAGTGCAGCAAGGCCTCATCCGACGGGGGTGGAGGGGGTGGAGGGGGCGGGGGAGGTGGGGAGCGCTCTCCACAGGAACTGTCAGGGGAGGCCCGGGGGCCACTGCCCAAGAGCCCCCCAGCTATGCGACCTCCTAGGGAGCCCGTGCTCTTGCTAGAAGAGGACCGGCCACTGTCTGAATGGGAGGGCCCAGTAGGGGCCCCTCGGGCTAATCCAGGTAGTGCCCCCCGCCCAGGGCCATGGGAGGGTAGGTGTCCGCCGGGAGAGTTGGTAGCTGGCTCAGCACCCCCGGTGCTGTACGTAGGCAGACTGGACAGTGAGTTTCGGCCAGAGTCGGACAGTGTCCCAGATGGGCAGCCACTGGTCCAGCCACTTAGTGCCAGGGGCTTGTCGGCAGCTGAAGAGGATGAGGATGAGGATGAGGATGAGGCAGGGCCCCCAAACAGCTGTGTCAGGCTGCCCTGGCTCCCTGACAGCCCAGAGGCCCGAGGACCCAGGAAGCTGGGGAGAGATGGTGCCCCTCGAGGTTTGGGCAGCACTGGCTTGAAGGCTGTTGGGCGGATCAGGATTTTCTCCATGTTCTGAAATGAGGTGACCATGTGATACTGGGGATGAGCTGCCCAATCATTCCATGCTCTTATCACAGTCCCAGCTTTCCCACTTGGGGTCCCAGTCCCCACACACTAATAGCAATAAACACTCAACCACAAGGTTGGTTTGAACAGCAAGAGCAGCAGTTCAAACTCACCAGCCACTCTTTGGAAACCCTATACAGGGTTGCTGAAATCAACTCCACGGCACTTAACAACAAACACCACCACTACCACCAACCAAGGGCTTACTAAGTGTCTGATCTAGGTTAAGTAATTTTTAAAAGTTCTTCTTTAATCATTACAACAGTCCTTTGAGCAAAATATTATTTTTATCCCAATACTGTTGTTAAGTGCCCTTGAGTCAGTTCTGACTCACAGCAGCCCTATATAGGGTTTCTGAGGAGTGGCTGGTGAGTTTGAGCTGCCAACCTTGCAGTTCAAGCCAACCTTGAGGTCCAAGTGCTTATCCTATGGCGCCATACCAGGACTCCGTTACAGATAGAATATTGGGATACAAAAGAAACGGAGGATCAGCAAGGTTAAAGGCCTTACTCAGTGAAATACACAGTTGTTAAAAACAATAATTTAAGCCACTAACATGTATGGAGCACACATTATGTGCCAAGTACTATGCTAAGTACAAAATTTGATTTAATTCTTAGAACGATTCTATTCAGGCTGACCTATTATCACTAATTTATGGACCCCCAAACTGAGGCTCAGAAAGGTGAAGTGAGTTTCATGAGGCCATACAGCCACAATGAGGCAGAGCCGGGGTTAGAACCTGGGTCTGGTGCATCTGTAACCCACATACCTTCCTCTAACCAGGCCTCCACACTCCAGCTTCCCCAGGTGACTCCTGACTCCACCCTGGTCCCACAGGAGGGCCAGTCCTCACCTTCTCCAGCTTTCCAGAGACAGGGATGAGCTTTGGTGGGGGGCCACGGAGATGGGCATTGTGTGCTCTCTGCTCTCGGACATCCTCAACATCACTGCTGGGACTGGGAGGTGACTCGGTCCGGAAGTCTTCGTTGATGTAGGTGAAACTGGTGCCAGGGACAGTCTTCCTGGGGGGTACAGCTGGGCATAGTGGCTCCTGAGCCCCATAACCACCTCGTAGCAGACCATCTTGCTGGCGGAAGAAGGTGGGCCCAGGGGGGCCATGGTGGCGAGGAGCTGGTCCCCCAGGGCAGGGCCGGCCTGAGATGAGGCTGCTCACGCTGCCCATGGCTGGAGCTTGGGGGGCAGTTGTGGCCTCAGGGGTAGGCTCCAGTGGTACTGGCATAGTCTGCACAATAGCCATGGTGGCAGAGGCTCAGGTCTGGCCAAGGGCCTCCAGGGCAACCTGTGAGCAGGGTAATGGTATCAGACTCTTCCTACATCCACCTCGAGCTCTGGTCCTAGGTCAAACCCCAAACAGTAACAAGTCCTGCTCCCCCGAAGTTTCTCTTAAAAGCACTGGTATAAACCTCAGTTCTCACTGGGCCTCAGATCACTCACTAACTCTGGCCTGGAAAGGACCAAGGACTGAATCCAATGAGTAGAGATGATGAGGGGATGGGAGGCCTGGTGGTTTACTCAGCGCCCCTTGGCAGGATTGGACCAAGTCAAGGTCCAAGACCAAGCACATACCCCCATGGGCTAGAAAGAAAGCCTTACCACCTCCCAGCACAGATCCCTGGTCCCCTGAGACATGTGGCCTCATTACAGGGCAGCTTGGGCAGAGGCACCTCAGGGACGCCATCAGTAACTCAAATGGTAATTAGGGAACAAAGAACTAAGACCAGGCAGTACCCAACCTCCCCCAGCTAAGCCTCAGTTTCTCCCAGACACAGAGGCGGCAAGGGTAGAGCTGGCCAAACAAGAAACCCAGAGCTCTTAGGGAGACCACAGGTGTCCTCTGGGGTCTTCTGCCTCCTAGAGGTAGATGCAGGCTCACACTTGTTTCCATGACAACTTTCCTCCCCATATCCAATCAGTCAGGCCTAAAGCAGCCTACACAGCCCCTACCCCACTGCCAACCTCTAAGAAACCTTCCAGTCTCAGCTAGTTTCCCAAAGGAACCCAAAGAAGATGAAGGTAAAAGCCCCTCCTTCTGTAAATCCTTCCAAACCAAAGGCCCCACCCTCACCTCTGGCAGCTGCTCTTCCATCTCACTTCCCTGGAGTCCAGAGAAAAGGGCTCCACCTCCCCAGACCTTGTTCCTTCCTGGAAAGGGACAGCAAGCCTCCACCCGGAACTCCCTCCTTGGTCCTGAGGCCGATGACCAGAACTTAAGCATCTGCTGAAGTCATCATGCAGAGCAAGGGCCAAGAAGTGGACAGAGTTCAGTGAGAATAGGAGCGTGTGCAGGAGTGGGAGCATTTACTGGGGGGGTGGTGGTGGTGGTGGTGGTGGTACAGGATAGGGGACACAACCCATCCCCACACTCGCTGCTGTCAACTTGATTCTGACTCACAGTGCCCCTGCAGGGCAGAGTACAGCTGACCCCTACAGTTTCTATGGCTGTATTGGTTACAGAAGTACACAGCCATATCTTTCTCCCATGAAGTGGCTGGTGGTTTGGAAGTGCTGATCTTCTGGTTAGCAGCCACTGAGCCACCAGGGCTCCTTGACTATATACATACCACAAAAGTCAAATGCACTGCCATTGAGTCAATTCCCACTCATAGCCACCCTATATGGGGTGTCCAAGACTGCAAATCTTTATGGGGCAGCCAGCTTCATCTTTCTCCCAAGGACAGACTGGTGGATTTGAACTGCCGACCTTGTACCCAATATTTAACCCAGAGTGCCACTAGACCTCCTTAGGTATACATAAGCGAATATAATCTGAGGGGCTTCAAAGAGTTCATGAGAAAATGGATTTAAAAGATAATAGAACCCCCTCAGATATGAGTGAATATCTGAGAGAATTAAGTTGGGATAGATGGATCAGTATATTCAATATACATGGATGTGTCAACTCATGTGGATCTTGACTAGGACAAGCAGGTGTGTGAATAGGAAGGTGTGTGCATCTGAGCCTGTGTTGGGAATAGGTAGGAGTCTGTTTCCCTCCCCCAATCTCATCCCAATCTTTTTGGCTTGAGCTCCCTAAATCCACCCCTACTCCCACAGGAAAGTATCCAGACCAAGGGGAGAGGGAGAGCAGTGTCTAGGCCCCTCCACAAGCACCCTACAAGTCCCAGCAAGACGGACAGACTCCCTTTTCTCCCTCAACTCCTCTCTCCCAGGGCAAGAGGGGAGCACTGAGGAAGGAAGGGGCTCTTTAGGGTGCAATGTCTGCATGTCCCCACTTCATTGAGCAAAGAAAAAACGAAAACTGCGGGGAGGAGACAGACTCAGAAAGACAGACAGGGATCCAAAGCCAGGAGACAAAGACCAAGAGAGGCAGGGAGAGGCGGGCAGCAGACAAGGGGGCCGCCGACCCAGAGAACCAGGCCCCTGAATCCGGAGACAAAGCTGGGCCCCAGGAAGCCAGAGCAGGCATCTGGAAGACCAGGCCCGGCCGGCAGGGCTCCCGCTCTGGGAGCCGAGAGAGAAGGAGGGGCAAGCCAAGGCTCCATTTTGAGAAATGCGCTTGTGGTTGTGAGAAGAGGGAACCCCATGCTCGGCCAGAACTCCCTGGGAAATCTCTGTGGCGCCGGGAGCCCCCGTTCCGTAGGCTTGGTACTGGTTGGGGGGGCGGGGGCTCAGCCAGGGTCAGAGAGGGATCTGGCCAACGTCCAGACTCCTACAGGCCTCACTTTTGGAGGCTGAAGAGTTGGGCAAAGTCTCCCCCCACCCAAACTCTAGGGACCAGTGAAGCAGGATCAAGTCTGGGATCAGGAGTTTTCCTTCCGCGACAGGAAGCTGGGAGCCTCAAACCCTCCCTCCTGAGTCCAAAACAGTACCCCCTCCCGCTTCCATAAAGTGGAGACAGCTGTGAAATAGCAGCCCCCCACTGGCCCTCCAGCGTGCAGAAGTTAGGGGCGCCCCACGTCGCCTCCAGGCTGCGATCCCCTCACCTCCGCAGCGCTGCTCCATGCTCAGCCCCGGGCCGCCCCAGCGCTCCACAGGCGCGCAGCCCGGCTCCAAACCGCGCTACTCCGAATGGCCCCAGCCGGCAGGGCCCCGCCTCCGAGCGCCCCCCCGGGGCCCCGGCCAGCCCCCACCGGCCTCAGTGGGCGGGGCAGGGTGGCGCGGGAGGGGGCCGAATGCGGCCCCGCCCCCGGGGCTCGAACACCCGCAAGCGCCCCCGCGATACTTGGGTCCGGAGGGGCGCACAAGGGGACTGCACGGCAGGAGCCAGGCTCCCTCCCTCCGAGGCCTAGTGACTGTGTGTCTGTGGGCTCAACGGCCACGACTCGGCGGCGATGGGCCACCCTCTTTCCCTCAACCCGGGCCCCGGGGCCGGCGGCAGCTGGTCATTGTTTGAGCACAAAGGGCCAGGCGCGGCGGCCGCCGCCCCTCCCCCCTCCCTCCGCTTCTTTACTCGGAGCCACCCCTCCAGGACTCTCTTCAGCTTCAGGGACCTGAGGGGGAGGCCGAGGGCCACTTTCCCCCCTCTTGGTCTGTCCGGGTCTTGAGCCCCATCACTAGTCTGAGGGCGAGGCTAGGCCGGTACCTGCCCCACCCCCAAGCAGGTCGGGGGCAGCACATTTGGGTTGGCGGAGGCGGCGCCACCTGGCGGCCTATTTGGAGAACACGCCCAGCCACACACTCCTCCCACCCCCACTCTCCCACCCCCACTGACCAGCACCGTACCGTACCCTCTCCCCCGCGAGCCTCGGCCTGTCCCTGGCACGCCTCTATGCTCCTCCACCTGCCTTCGGAACTATTTACTAAGACGCTCAGAGAAAGGTGGCCTCTGGTCACCCAACAATCATTCAGGTGAACTGGTCCAAACTTTCAGTTCAAACCTGCACCAGCCTCAACAGCAAACATTCTACTGTCTTTCCTGGGTCACAGAAATTCTCAGCCTCTCACAAATACAATCTTTGTAACACCCACATAGTCTTACCACATTGTTTCATATAACCACAATCGCACACAGTCTCATCTATCACACGGCTCCATAATCTTGTAGGCCAGAACACACAGGCACTATCTTTCAGACCCAGTCACAATCTTCAATACAGTTGTAGTCTCCTAACCACATTGACAGGAGTCCTGGTGTGGCACTGTGGGATAATGCACTGGACTGTAAAGTCGGTTTGAACTGCAGGGTCGGTGGTTCAAACTCACCAGCTGCTCCTCCTCAGAAACCCATACAAGGGTCGCTATGAGTAGGAAGGGACCCGAGGACAATTAACAACAACCACAATTGGCAGTCTTATTCACAGTTGCTCATAAATAACTTCTTACACATACAAACATCTTGTAGACTTTCCCTTAGGGGTCTCATGACCTGGTCAGCTCAGCTGATGCTGGCACCTCTGGGCAAGGACAAGCCTCCCTGCCCCCCCTGGACCAAGGCTGCCAGTGCTCGGCTCCGCCCCAGGAAGGAGCATACCCCCATTCCAGGCCACAGCCCTGGCTGGCTCTCAGCTCTATTTTTAGCTCGATGGAATGGGTTGTTTTTCTTTCTTTTTCCCTGGAAAGGGAAACACAGCCCAGCCACCCTCAGACTCATCCCAGGCTCAGTCTCACAAGAACAGCCTGAGACCCTCTCCCCAGAAGAGTCCCCCTCCTCTGGCCCTGTCCTGATCCCAGCCTCCAGGGACACTAATAGCCTCCTCCCATTCCCGGCAGTCTGCCCAGAAGCTCAGGCAGCAGCTGGACCCAACGTGTGTGGAAGAGGGCGACGTAGGGGTGGGGAGGGAGACAGAGGGCCGCTGGCCACCACCCTGGGGGGGGGGGGGCCAGAGGGGGTGCTCGTCATCCTTTCTACTACAGGGGAGTAGGTCCACTCGGTAGGAAGAGGTGTATATTCCCTTGGGGAGGAGGGTTTCCACTCTTGAACGGATGGGCTTTCTGTTCCCCCATTGAGGGGAAGAACTCAGTCCAGCCTTAGGGGTATGGGGTGGTAAGAACGAGATCCACAGACACTTAGGCAGCTGCTTCCTGAGCTGGAAGTACGAGATGGTAGGAGGACAGCTGTCCACTGCCACCAAGGAGAGTCCCCTCTCATACCTTCGGG